GGACAGATGTTGATTCCTTTAAATACATGTTTCTCTAAATCTTCTGGTCAGAATGGGAGAGATCCAGACATACAGAGTGCAATTCTCACTTTTCATTTTTGGAGAAATCATGATTTCACCATGTGTTCTTCACATTGCTCCATTTCCCTGTGTTCTATCTATAAAACTTCAGAAGTAACTTTTCAGGACATTTATTTAGCCCTTCCAAATCTTAGTCATTCCTTAAGGTCAAATCAATGTAATGATAAAATTGTCTCTAAAGGAGCCATGAATGCATAATGAGTAGCACATGATTTATTTTCCTTCTTCAAATGTATTCAAAGTTTTGTCAGAACTAGAGAATAGGTTATGCTTTTAGCTTACTCTGAGGCTTCTGTGTGACAATTTGGGTTTAGCCCATTAAAACATAATGATTTAGCAGTGAAACCTACCTCTTTTTGGAGTCAGTTTTGCTTTCTTGCACTCTAGGCCTCTAGAATTTATTGATATTTCTATCAGGCTATATATATGCAGACCTTTACTGGGGTAGAATTCACTCCTGGTGAGTGGTAAAAACTTTGGACCAGTTGCTCATGGTGACATGAAGATAAAGAGACAGGAGGCTCATAAAGACTAAATCAAATCCTGTCTAGGCCACAGGGTGAGACCCTGCCTTGAAACCAAACCAAAGCAACCATTTGAAACATAAAAAGTATCACAAATTCTTTCACCACACCACTGGAAAAAGAAAGATCTCTCGGGTAATAAGTGCTACAAAAATACATGTTTTAAAAGCCATTTAAGTGAGTTGGTGACACAGCTATGATTGAGAGATTGTACCATAGAACAGAGAGCCAGTCTTTTATGGAATCATGATAGCAGGGGTTTCTCACCTCTGCGCATCATTTATTTGCATGCCCAGTCATCTGAGGAAAAACCATGTAGTGGGGGATTGTTAGGACTGAGTGTGGAGTCATTCTATAGAACAAGAAGATAGTCTGGGGTTAAGATGGTTTTATAACAGGGATTCCTAAATTCAATGCCTGAGTTTCAGTCTTTTCAAAATAATGGGTTTTGGAATTGGTTTTGGGGAAACAAAACAATAAAATAAAGTTAGAATAATGTGTAGAATAATGTTCATATTATGGTTTCTAAGGACTAACTGACTTGAAATTCAAATGTGAAAATTTCAATCCTTTGACTTAAAAGTCTGTGAGTTACATTTGACTGACCTCATCATTTCCCTGCCTGAGAAGACACTATGAAGAGGTATACAGAGTGATCTGAAGAAGTAGATGGGAGAGAAAGGAGATGTTGCCAAAGGGGAAACACAATTAGGGGATTTTGCAGATAGCACCTGACCCAACAATATTGCTGCCTTAATTTACTACCTTTTGAAAAACTACTGTTCAAAACTCAAATAAACTAATAAATATTCTATGCATCCTTCTATTACCCTGGTAAGAACTCTTTGGCTCATGTAATGAATGCTGCTCTTTCCTGGTTAGACAGAAAACAGCAGGAAAACAGCCTCATCCCTAGGCCTCATGGCCTAAATTGGCCCAGGAGGGAAGCCCAGGAGATGAGCATTTTCCTCTGACTCCATGTGTGGCTGCTAGCCAGTCTCCAAACAGCTTTAGTTTCCTTGTAAGTCAAACCAAGATAAATATCTTCTCTTCCCTTCTTACCCTCACTACATTGCAAAGCTTCACTTTTGCCACCTTCATTAACCTTTTCCAGAGATCAACAGAAGAAAGCATCGGAGAATTTTTAAGATGAACTATTTGAGCTATTAGCACTGTCTTCATCTAGGAGAACTGAGGTCACATGAGGAGAAAGGAGAGTGTAACAAGGTGTGATAATAGCGAACACAACAAACTCACTCAGGAGGCAATGTTTGTAGTGGAAAGGAAACACCAAAGAGGGTTTGGGATTGGGGTGCAAGGGAGACAAGTCCACAATTGGGACCAGATGCCATCAGAAGCTAATGACCTGACAAACACCATCCTCATAAAACAAATTCTTTTAAAAGGAAGTAAATGGAAACATAAGCTAGTGAAAGAATTTGTAGCAGCTGCCATGAAACCATTTCTCACTTTATAAACAGATTTGGGCTTGCTCCCCCATACTCCACCCCCAGTTATGGCCCTGCTTCATAACACCTTTCCCTTTTTTGTGCTCTTTGTCTTGTGTTCTTCTCTGCTGCCAATACTGGATACACTTCTGGTGTTAGATAGATGCTCATAAAACCAACAATAAATGTAGTTGATGGAAAGAAGCTCATGCACAGTACTTACTTCCTGTCCTGCCTCAGCATGTGCTTGTCCTTTATGATGCATTGGATAAATTCACCCTAAACGGCATGTGCTCTTTCATACATGCTGAAGAAGATACAGTTTGTAGGTGAATAACATGTAGCATTTATGGATTTGAAGTTCTTTGGTACTATAAAGGACATCTTCTGATCTCATCCTAAGGACAGTCAGGGTTTGACTGCCTTATCCAGCTGTTGAGTAAAGACTCAGAGACAGCCTCATTCCTTATATTGCATACCCTATGGTCAGCAATGGATCTGGGAAATTCATACTGACTCATTTACAGTCCTGCTTTGCTCAGTTTTTATTTCTCCTTTCTGTTATTGGGCTGCATAGATGTTACATCATCATAGAGAATAACTATTGGATAAGACAGCAAAATGATATTGTCACATCATTCATCTTCCACCCTCTACCTCTCAGGCATGCACAAAAGAAATGAGAGTGTCACTGGAATAGTGTTTAAATCCTATCCATTAGGGACATCCATTTATCACAGTCAGATCAAATCCTTTTTTAGGGGCTACTTCTTTTTAAATCATCTCAATTACAGTAGGATATATATATATATATATATGTATATATATATATATATATACATATATATATATATATATATTTAATGACACTTAATTTGCTATATTCTTATGCTGTTGTCTAATTATTTAATCAAGTCATTGATCACTAATATAAACCAAGGACAAGTAGAGCACATTATTGGTGATGAGTGATAGTTACTTTCTCTAATGATATTACCACTGGCAAAAATATCAAGAGTAAGAAAATATATTGTTAGTCTCTCTCACTGCACTAAGTTCCTTAAAGGCATGGTATTTTTTAAATCATCAGTTTTCAGTCCAACCTCTTGCAAAGAATATGTCCTTTTATTGTAAGATAATTCCATTCTAGCACACACATACAGATACTCTTGCTGAAGAGAAAGTCTGTTTTACCAACTGGTAGCTGCATGGGGAACGTGCTCAAATCATGCAGCCCAGAGCCTTCCCATTCATTGTCTTTTATGTACAATAAAACACATCCTTATTGACACACTTTTGTTAACAAGAAAAGTTATTGAGAAGCAAAACTACAGTAGCCAAAAAGTGAGATTAGTACATTTAGGAACTTTTCTAGATCCTGGCACTAAGGATTTGATTGATTAGGTATTTGTCCCCATTTTAGCAGGTGTTACAAGGGTTTATATACTGGTCAGAATGGTTCCTCTATCATGACATCAGTGATGCTAAGGTCTTTAGGCCTGAATGATTAATTCAGGATAGTTGAATCATTGGAGGATAATTTTCTTTTTTTGTGATTTAAATATTTTCCATTGTAGTAACATTGACTAAGTTTGCTATCTGAAATAGAAAAAAAATAATTAAGCAAGCTTTAATTGTGTCTACTATAGTCAAAAATTTGGTGATTTAAATTTGGGTGATAAAAAGTATTTCTTTTCCAGAAGGTCATACTCCAGTTGTGAGATTAAGGACACAATCAGATAATAATTTTCTTGTGGGTAAATGAATAACTAAACTGATTTAAGAACAAGAAAATGCATACCTAACAAGATCAAATAAATTAATTAATAGAAGGGAGTTGTTTTTATACTTTTACTAAGAGATTTGAAGGAAGAAAGTAAATGCAGGAGGGTTGCTTCTTGGAGTAGGAAGGCCGTTTAGAAATCTCATTAAATGGAAAAAAGTGTGGAAATGAGAGAAATGAAAAAGAAAGGAGCCTAATAGGAAACAGATACTGACATGGGGTTGGCCCTTTGGTAGTAGGACAGCAAAGGGGCTAACCTGGGAATAGCATCAACCTTGTAAAGAGACATGTAAAGCTTCTCCTATGAGGGAAAGAATTGAAACATCAGGGTGTGAATTACTTACTCCGTATCATACAAGTATTGAATGGTGGGGCCAGGACTAAGGTCTGGAGCGAATGTTTTATTTAAACTCTGCTTCCTTTGTGTCTGGAGGCTACACTCTTCTTGTTCTACTGTCTGTTGCATCATTGCTGCTATTATAGTCCAAGCTCTGTAATCTCCTTGAACCTTGGGGCATTTATATATCTCTCACTAATGGTCCAAGAAGCAATTCTCTGCTAAGGAGATATCTCTGAAAGTCTCTGCCACAATGCCTGGCATGTGATGGATATTCAATTCATACCGGTAGGTTTCCTTAGCCTGTGCCCCTTTCAGTGTTATGTGTCCATAGTCAAAGTGTTTGCATACAAACTAGTGTGTGATCTCAGATACTCAACAATACTCAACTTCCACACAGGCACTCTGGGACTTTCTTTTTATCATCTATCTAAAGAGCCAATGCCTGATGAAACCAGGAGTCTCTAGGATCCATTTTTGAAATTTGTCCTGGGTCTATTCTGATTGCTTGGAGCCTAGAAATATTGTTGTTTAATATTTCAAGTGTCCTTCCTTCATCTATTGGTTTCTGAGATTATCTAGGACATTTGGGAACCCATTTTCTACCTCATCCCTTCATCACAGATTCTCCGGGAAGGACCACAGAAAGTTAGCTGTCATGGTTTACATTTACCACACCACATATTTCTCAGGGAGATAGAAGAAAGTGATGAGTTCCACTTAGGCTGTGAGGGAAATCCTTCTGCGCTTTAGGTGTTCTGTTCAGAGATGTATATTGCTGCCACTTGGGCTTTAACTAAGGATGCTTCCACTTCTGTCGCCCCCAGTTGTGCCCAACGACCATGTGGAAAACAGGGAAGATGCACGCCATTGCTACTTGACCATGCAGATGTGGTAAATTGTACCTCCAGTGGCCCAGGTCACATGAAGTGTGCTATCACTTGTCAAAGGGGGTATGTCCTTCAGACCAGCAGTGGGCAGTACCTCAGGATGATGCAGGTGAGTTGGAAGCTGACAATCAGAAGGAATGAGTTCCTGGGTCAATAAGCTATCTATTCTCTTCTCTTTCTTGATGGGCTGGGAAAAGTGGGTGTTTTAAAATCTTCAAGAGCAAAAACTCCAGGAAAGCAAAAAGAAACATGGTGGTACTGAAGTTCAAGATGTCTAAACATATGAAACTCCTATTTCCTAAGGTGTTAACATACTCACTGTGCGGGCAGTATATATAAGTGTTTATTCAAAATTCCCTTGCTGTGTCTTCTTAACATTGAGAATATCTCAAAGTAGACCTGTTCCTAGTTCACAGATAAATAGACTGCTGTCAACTTGTCTGAGATTCATGGGGGGAATATAACTATATTGTACCCCAAAATATTAAATCTACTGTCAAGGCAGGGGTTGTTTCCCTCCTTTTACATACCACACCCCAAATTTCAACTGCACCATTTTCAGGATTTTGGGTAGCCTAGGGTTAGTAGAATGTACTAGGTGAAGAGTATCATTCAAGAGACAGATGTAGGCAAATTTTTTGTCTCCATTATCTTTTAGGTATACAACAGTAAGAACAACCAAAATAAATAATCCCTTTAAATTTATTTCTGCATTTATAATTTTTTCAAAAAGAAGTATTGAACTTGTTGAGTTACTACAATAGTTGATGAGCCTTATTATAAGCTTCTGTGGAATAATAGGTATTGACAGCTCTCATTACAAGCTTTTTATAGTAAAAACAAGATAAACTCTCTCTAACTAGGGGCTTATTTCCCATTTCCCTTTGAGAAAGCTTACAGCAGTGGACAGGGAAATTTTAAGCATAAATGAACCATTGGAAAACAAGATCACATCATAAGATAGTGGAAGTATATACAAGGTAAATTGCCATTATGCTTGAAGAGAGAGCCAGGAACATGCATGATCATGGAAAAAAGAATAGCACATCATTTCTATTCAGGCAATAATTGTTTGAGAAATAGAAATGCTTTAGTTTTGTGCCATTTGATTTCTTTTTGTTGTTGTTTTGTTTTTTGAGGCAGGATTTCTCTGTATTGCTTTGGAGCCTATCCTGGAACTAGCTCTGTAGACCAGGCTGGCCTTAAACTCATGGAGATCCACCTGCCTATGCCTCCTGAGTGCTGGGATTAAAGGTATGTGCCACCAATGCCCAGCTGATTTTTGCTTTCTTAACAATTTTAGAACCCATGGAAGAATTTCACTGTTTTAGGCATGGTCAGAAGTTAAAGACACAATTTTGAATTTGAGAAAGTTTCATGAAATCACCCAGACAGGAATAGCTTTATGGAAGCTTGAGGCATCAAATTCCTGACACAGAAAGATCTTCTATCACCTGTTCTTAACTCAGGCAAAAGATTCTTCATGCTGAAAACACAGTAGGAATAACTCAACAAGTTAGGGACTAAATTCATGTGTGTGGTTTGTTAAGGAGAGCAGAGCAGAAAGGCTATGTTTGTGGAGCATTAAAGTTGGACTAATCTAAAACAAAATGGGCAATACCCAAAAAAGCCAAGAGAAAAGCCAGGAATTACACATGGAGTTTTAGAGACAGTGTTTAAATGATTAGTGGTTTGCTGCAGTTTGAACCAGACCTCCCAACTGTGCTAAGTGTGAGAAGAACCTGGTTAGAGAGAGGATGGAGATCACATTTGCCAAACACATGGTGGAGTAAGCAATGGCGCTCTGCAGCTGACCAGCCACTGTCACCCGACTCTGGCCCCATGCAGGAAATTGTACAATCCCGGCTCATGATCACAAGACAGTGGGGATATTTGCTTTCTGTTGACATGAGAACTGAAGCTAAATAGAAAAAATGTGTCTGGCTTTGACTTGGATCCTTCTGGCTGGCAATAGGGACACGCTGGGAAGCTGAGAAAAACACTAAGCTAAGATGTAGTGTCATGGGTGATAGGTAACTTCAGCAGTCATTGGACCTTTGGCTTGTGTCCCAGTGTGGTCACCTGATGGGATGACCTGCAGTTTCATCATAGAAACTCTTCTGTCTGTCTTTGATCTTTATCCCCATGGCCAGATGCTTGTTTTTTCCCAAATGAGCCATAAGTTTCACAGTCACTAAGTCCCTGTTCATCTCATATCTGGCTGGATGCCTTCTTCTCTTCTTCTCCCACCTCCCCTACGCTGCTCAAAAGTCCTGATGATCTTTCAAGTCCTGTACCCATCTCAAGTTCTTTCTGCCTGAGGGTAACAGTCCCTCTTCCTGGTTCCTTGGGTTCTGTGCTTAATGCTCATGCAATACCTGATGACAGAGTTATTTCTCTAGAGTTATTGCTTTCTTCTGGGATTTTTTTATTTCTCTTGTTTCTAATTTATATTCTTTTTGCTGTTTTCTCTCTAATCATTGGAGAAGACTATAGGACTATTTTGGACCAAATTAAAGTGTATTGTTAGCATCTGACAACTTTTGTTCCTATTGTTTTCTTGGCCACTGTTTCAGTGATTTGCTCCACTTTTAGTCCCCCAGAAACCATCTTGTTCAGTGCCGGACCAGGCCTTCTCACATAATGGCAATGGCCCTAATTTTGGGAACATGGCTAGACTTACTCCCACTTACCAGAGGTAGGATAGAAGCACCTGTGTGTATTAACTCTCTTAGGTACTGTTCACCATTCTGGAAAATGATAATCATTTTTAGTAGCTTAGTATGTTTATTAATAAGGGTACCAGTAGGAAGTAGATGACATATAACTTATTTGCATGGTACTGAGCAATCTAGTCATCATCCATGTGTTTTAGTGTTTGTATCAAAAGGGAAAGGATTGTTTTGGGTATGAAAATTAAACAATGTACTGAAAGTATTCTATTAGTTATGAAATTCAATACATATGCTATGTTTGGTGCTATGTCTTATTTCTTATATCTTTTAATTTGAGTTTTTGAGAGAGCATCTCACTCTCTAGCGCAGTTTAATGTCAAATTCACAGCACCTTGCTCCAAAGCAGGTAATTTAAGAGGCATTTATAAGCAGACTTCTTAAAAAGATGTAGGTAGGATTTAAGGATGTGCCATTCGATGTGCAATACCCCAGAGTGATGGGGTTGGCTCTGTGGAACAGCAGATAGATACTATAGGATCAAAGACCAGAACAAAGTAGAGAAGATAGTCACTGGGTGAGTCAGTCTGCAGCCATCCCTTCTGCAGGGAACAGGGAGATAAGCAAGCAGGGCTTCCTCTTTGTCATCTCCAGTCTGCCCCCAGGCCCCAGAATAGGAATTTAAATACCAATAGGAGGCTTGAGATCCTAAACTCCGAGACAGTTGTACTGAAAATAGATAGGTCAGAGCAAGGAAAGGACAGCCTGAAGATGAAGCTTGGAAGAGCAGTGACTCTCTGGTACAAGCAGGCTCCCTTCATCAGCATCCCCCCAAGCAGCGAGTCACAGGAAAGGACACAGGCAGATTGGTTACATAAATGACCACTAAGACCCTTCCAAAGCCAGGAAGCAAATCTGATAGCCATTATATGTGACTTTGACAGAAGTAAACTCTCTGTTTTCAGAAAGGGATTCTCCTCACTTGTTCCTCTGGCCACTGGGACAAGGATGTGAGCTGTGTGCACATTGACTGTGGTGTCCCTGACTCTTCCTTGGTGAATTATGCAAACTTCTCCTGCTTGGAGGGTACTGACTTTCAGAAACGCTGTTCCATCTCATGTGTCCCACCAGCCAAGCTCCAAGGTATTGTCTGTCCAACTGGGGAACTGAAAGTGATCTCTCTTCATTCCCTTACACTTTAGGGTACCTTTGTACTATTTTTTTTAACCCATATATGCTTCAAAATAGCTATTCTCTAATATTTTCCTCCAATAACACAAAATCCCCTCAGATATCACTATTTTTGTTCCTAACACATATGTAGAGATGTCCTAGATTAGGGTGTCATTAATAATGAATGAAACTTCGTCTTTGTTTCTTATTTTTATATGAATTCTCAGAATAAGGCCAATCAGCACAATTGTCCTGATAATATTAACAACCAAGGTACATCTTATTAAGTTTTAATGTGTACATTGTGCATCAGATATGTTTTGTTTTATTTTGTAAATTAAGAGAACACTGTTACACCATGTATCCATGGCTGTGTGGCTACTTGAGATGAAGAGGTGCTGGGCCAGGATCTAACTCACCACCACACCTTGTCCTTTAGCTATACTTCTCAGCCTTCAGTATGTCACACAATGACACATTGCCTATGAAGATTCCTTAACCTTACTCTGACATGTGGTTTAGTAGATTGGCAGGCTAGTGATGTTAATGCTGCCAGTCCTAGGTTACATTTGGAGAAACCAGATTATAGCAGGTCATGTGATATGGTATTAAAACTCAGAATTCTGTATCCAAATTACCTATCTCAAATCTAGACACTACTATGGGGAGACCCCATTTCCTTATCTACCTGATAGGGGATAGCCAGAATCTATTTGATAGGGTTTTTTGCTGTTTGCAATTTACATGTATTTGCACAAGCAGAACACTTAGAACACTGGCATATAATCATCAACAAGTGCCAACTGTCATTATTTTAATACCACCCATGTTACTACTAATCCTATGTTTTTGCTACTGTAGGTAGGAAGAGAGGCAACGATTTGGTTGGTAGCTCTTCTTCCATTGAGACTAGGGACTCTTTATGTGATGCTATGGTATGTGAGATCTTGCCAACAGCTGTAGAGTAAGAACCTACATGATCATCATTTGATGGGAAGATTTTAGAGACACTCCTCAACAAAGAATAATGGGACATGAAGAGAGCCAATATATTTGTTTATTGCCTAGGTTTTTGTTCTTTGTCTATGTACTATCTGTTATGAGAATCATGTGATTCTCTTTCCTGGAGTCAGGACTGAGCCCGTGGCTGACCTGTCTTGAAGATGGACTCTGGTCTCTCCCTGAAGTCTACTGCAAGTTGGAATGTGATGCTCCTCCGGTTATTCCAAATGCCAATTTGCTCCTGCCAAATTGCCTAGAAGGCAACAACCATGATGTGGGCACCATCTGCAGATATGAATGCAAACCAGGCTACTATGTGATGGAAAGTGCGGGGAGTCAAAGCAGGAAGTAAGTGTTCATGTACTTGGTCTCATGGTTTCCTTGCCTTGCATCATGTTCCTGTTCCCTCATGGAAAATTGAAGATCATTTCTTTCTGAGATACCCACTGTTTATTGTGTTTGCTTTCCTGTATAACTTCTCTATACCTGAACAGATATATTCTTCAGTCATGACAGACAGGAGTCCAGATCTTTTCTGTAAAGATTTCCATAGTCTCATGCATATGCTTTTGGAGAAAAACTGATTTAATTGTCATTTTCTTTAGAGTTAAAATGATTAACCTCAGCTCAATATTTTGCTGTGGGTGTCTGCTTCTGCTTCCATCAGCTACTAGATGAAGGCTTTAGGATGGCAGATAAAGTAGTCATAAATCTCATTATCAGGGAAGGGCATTTAAGGTAGTCTCTCCACTATTGCCTTGATTGTTAGGTGGGTTCATCCTTGCCACTAAGGTGGCATTTCCTTAGTGCCAGATTTCTCCTAAAGCCTATAATGAATCCCTCTATTATGGTATCTCTTTTTTTGCTCTCCTTTATTCTTTGCCTGATTTAATCTTCCTGCTCCCTTATACCTACCTCTTCCCTCCTATTCCTCACTCTCTCCCCTTCTCCCCCCATGCTCCCAATTTTCTTGGGAGATCTTGTCCCTTTTGCCTTCTGTGGGTGACCATGTATGTTTTTCTTAGGGTCCTCCTTGTTTCCTAGCTTTTCTGGCAGAGTGGATTGTAGGCTGTCAATCCTTTGTTCTACGTCTAAAAACCATATATGAGTAAGTACATACCGTGTTTGTCTTTTTTGTGACTGGATTACCTCACTCAGGATGGTTTATTCCAGTTCCATCCATTTGCTTGTAAATTTCAAGATTCCATCATGTTTTTCTGCTGAATACTACAACGTTGTGTAAATGTACCACATTTTCTCCATTCTTCAGTTGAGGGGCATTTAGGTTGCTTCCAGGTTTTGGCTATTACAAATGATGCTGCTATGAACATAGTTGAACAGATGTCCTTGTTGTATGAATGTACATCTTTTGGGTATATGCCTAAGAGTGGAATTACTGGATCTTAAGGTAGACTGATCCCCATTTTCCTGAAGAAACACCATACTGATTTCCAAAGTGGCTGTACGAGTTTGCACTCCCACCAGCAGGGGAGGATGTACCCCTTTCTCCACATCCTCTGCAGTCTTTGATGTTTTTGATTTTAACCATTCTGACAGTAGTAAGATGTTATCTCAGAGTTCTTTTGATTTGCATTTCCCTGATAGCTAAGGATGCTGAGCACTTTCTTAAGTGTCTTTCAGCCATTTTAGATTCCTCTATTGAGAATGCTCTATTTAGTTCTGTTCCCTACTTTTTAATTGGATTATTTGGTGTTTTAGTAACTAGCTTCTTGAGCTAAATATTAAGCTGAACTCCTAGAATCCAGTTGCAAAGAGGGAGGAGTGATGAGCAAAGGGGTCAAGATCAGGCTGGAGACACCCACAGAAACTGCTGACCTCAACAAGGGGGGAGTTCATGGACTCCAGTCTGATAGCCAGGAAACTAGCATAGGACTGACCCATACTCCCTGAATGTGGGTGTTAGAACTAGGCAGTCTATGCGGCCTCTGGTAATGGATCAGTATTTATCCCTAGTATACAAATGGACTATGGGAGCCCATTCCACATAGGTGGTTAATCTCTCAGCCTAGACAATGGGGGAGGGCCTAGGTGCTGCTCCAAATGATATGACAGAATTTGAAGACTTCCCATGGAAGGCCTCAACCTCCCCAGGGAGCAGAAAGGGGATGGGATGGGGATTGGTGGGGAAACAGGGAGGACAGAAGGGTGCAGGAACTTGGATTGATTTATAAAACAAGCTTGTTTCAAACTTAAATAAAAAAATGACTAACCTCCTGAATATTATTTTAGGTTATCTGAGTCAAGCTCAATGCCAGCATAATTCAAAAGTAAGGTTCAGGGAGATGTTCCTGGCTTAGCCCCAGGGTGTTTATTACATGTATAGTGGATGGAAAATTTCGTTCTCTGCCTCAGGTTTCTTAACTGACAAATGGGATGACAGAACTGATGAAGGGGCTTCTCAAATGAGTTAAAGAATCCTCAGTAAGCTATTGCAACACCATTAGCTACCTCCATGGATATTTTCATCCTTCTGCTTTTTCTTCCATGAACTTTATGGAAGGGTAGCAAGAGAGTGGTGGGGCAAAATGCTCAGGGGTGAGTAAAGGGTAGAGAGATGACCGACATGTAGGGTGGAGAAGTAAGAACAGAGCATTTTAGGATAGGAGAATTAATGGTAGAGAGGCAATAGCTATTTCTCTGAGCTCATAGCTAAGCTTTATGTGGAGAAAATGAGGTTTCCACTGGGAACTCTGAGCTTTCTGCCCCTCCTCCCATTCCTATCCCTGAGTAGGAGCACTTGAGAGCCCTTTGTGGGTGAGGCTTTTCTGGCTGAGACACTGGACACATGCATCAGAATGTCACCATCCATTTGGTCTTGAACATTTACGTTTGCAAGCACCGTGCTAAGAAAAAAAATTATTTACCATGCTGTGTAAACCGATTAGATCTCAGTTTACACCTGTTTATATAGCAGGCGAAGAATTGGTAATCAGAAGTTTGCAAGTTGAGCATAAGTCACTGTTACTTGCCACTTGTGTTTACCCAGTGAACTATGGCTGCCTTGCTTTTGCTTGTGTGGAAGAAGCACAAAGCTGGACAGATGGAACCCTAAACTTCTTCTTAGGACACACACTTCAGAAAAGATGGAAGTCAGAAGAGCTGGCATGGAAGGCAATTCAAGCAATCACAGGATGATTTTACGTAGTTGCATGAAGCAGTGTATGAGTGGGGACACAGGTGCTTGAGGACTCAGGTTTGCAACCTATTTGCATGGTAATGAGCAATCTAGTATAACCAAGTGTCTTCAGTTTTGTATTCACCATGGGAAGGGGAGCCATCTTTTCTATGGGATTGTTTGGGCTATAAAAGTTGGACAATGTACTAAAACTATTCTGTAAGTTATGAAGTTCAATACATACCCTATGCTAGGTGTTGCTTCGTATTTCTTATTTGTCTATTTATTTTACTTTGGGTTTTTGAGACAGGGTCTTATTTTGTAGCCCAAGCTTGCTTTGAACTGAGAGCAATTCTCATGCCTCGGTCTTCCAAGTGCTTTGCTGTTGTATTTTTAAGAAGGAAACAACTATAAAAATCTAAGCTGAATGTATTGTCTTCTTGATTTCCTGAGATTTGTTGATGCAAGAGAAATAAAGCCTAAGTGCTGACTGGGGCTTCAGAACTCCCTGCTGGAGCTTCATCCCATTCTGCCTCCTCTGTGCCTATTTATTTAATATTAGAGGAAGACCTAGGCACTATCCCCAGGTAGTGACACCTCAAAGACAAAACCAAAAGTGGTGGATAATAGCACACTCCTGAAATATCCACTACTTGAAAGTTGAAAGCTGAATGATCAGGAGTTCAAAGCCATCTTTAGTGATATGGCAAGTTCAAGGGCAGCCTGAGCTACATTACATTATTTCTACAGCAAGCAAAGGAAATTAAGACAAGAAGCTAAAATACAAAAATAGAAACAAAGTAACAAACAAAAGACATTAAACACTTCTGAAGATCAAACAGGCTTCATGTTATGGCATGATAGCCACATGCTGCTTCCTGAAACGCCCTCCTTTTCAGCTCTGTTGTGTTTCTACCCCAATTTTCCTTCTTTCTGTCTCTTCTCATTTCCTTCCCCAGCTTTCTTCCCTCCTCTGGATTCTCCAATGGCCATTTTCTCTGCATTCTCTTTCCTTTCTCTCTTTAAAAGCAAGAATTGTTTGTTATTTTTATTTATGTGTATGTGTGAGAGACCACATGAGTTTATGTGCACAACTTGCATGCAGTTACCATTGACATGGAAGTCAGAACAGACTCAGATCCCCTAGAATTGAAGTTACAGTAGACTGTGAATCACCCAGTGTGGGTGCAGGGAACCAGGGTCCTCTGTAAGAGCAGTAAGTGTTCCTAACCACTTAGTCATCTCTCCAGTCCCCTATTTTATTTCTTAATCCATGTACTTTTCAGAGCTGAAGTTTTTTAGTCCATAGCCTTGATTGTGGTCACATGTTGATGATTCCAACCTAGTCCCATACCTGCTACTACAAACTCTTCCATTAATGGCTATAAGGGTACCCACAAGCCAAATACCTAGGGATGCAGCCACTGAGGTATCCCATCTACATCCCAGATTCCTAACTACACAAAGGAGAGTCTATAATAAATCATTTGAAATCTACACATCTCTTTGCCCTGTGATGTTGGTAGAATCTGAAGCCTGCACAGCACTCAGGACTAATGCTATGGTGTCTTGTACTATCGTCAACTAACAGTGTGTTATTAACAGCAAACAGTGTATTCTATTACTTTTGACATGTAATATGTACAATGGGTTTCTTAAGATTTGCCTCTGCTTATGTCAAGGCATATCTATACACCTGAATTTCTGGGGGGGGGGGGGAGGGTGATCCAGGCACTAGCATTTTGAAAATTTCCTTGAGTTCATTTGATGTTCATCATGCACTGACCTTGGAGAAACTTTACCCTTGTTAGGACAATGTGTACACTGGAATTTTGGTAATAAATAAGTATAAAAACAACATATATATATGTAAAAATATATATTATTGTCCTTTTATGTGGCAGATTTTTGGATATAATTTTGTATATTATTTATTTTAAAGATAATAGAGAAAACACTAACAGAATTGTAACCTCATAAACCAGTAATTATTACAAGTTTTAGTTAGCACTTATCATTCATTTGCAGTGGATAATCCACACAACTATAACCTCTTTTCATCTTTGTTTAGCTGTTTCTTCCACCTATATACCACCATTAATCACTAGGCTGTGATTTCATTAACCTGACATCCAAGAAAGTTAAATGAATGTGTTTGAATGATATATTATACAAAGACCATGTTATATTCTCTATTCTTTTTTACTCCCAT